GCCTGTGGCTGCGGCTGCGGCTGCACCAGCGACAGCTCCTTCCCCCGCCTCCGCTCCAGCCACTCCATCACCCGCGTGAGGTCGGACATGCGCCTCTCCTCGGCCGTCCTCCACATGGACTTCCTCTCCGTGGGCATGGAGTCCCTCCGGTCCTCGGACTTGTCCGGCATGATGGAGCCGGGTTTCTGCATCGGGACAGAAGGTGGCACAGGCTCCCCCTGGGGAGCCCTCTGTCCCTGGTGGCTGGCCTGGGTGGCTCCGAAGGTGGGTCCGCCTCCAGGTGGGAACAGAGAGGGCCTGGCAGCTGGCATAGTGGCCTCAAGGCTGGGAGGTCTGGAGGGGGATTGTGAGGTCACCCTCGGCTGTCAAATAATGACTCTCCGAGGCCACAGTGGTGAGTGGAGAGGAGCGAGTGGCATGAAGGGAAGGCATGTCGACCTCTGACAGCCGGTGACGGGAGAATGAGATGAGGTGGGTTGGCGGGCGGCTCACACTGGAGCTGGGAGCTGAAGAGCGAGTAGGCCCCACAGGGCTCTGGCCCTGATGGAGGAGCGCAGCGCGTGCAAAGGCCCTGCAGCAGGAGGGACGCAGGCACACGTGCCGGACGGCGGAAGGCCAGGTGGCTAGTGAGGAACGGAGCCGGAGAGGTGGGCCTCGGCCGGATCAGACGGGACCTTGGAACTCACGTGTCGCCTTAAACTGGAAGGAAGGGGAAGCCACAGAGAAACAGCAAAGGAATTCAAACAGGGAGGAGGGTGTGGCACGGTCAGGCTGTTTTCTCTTTTTTAACTCGTATTGAAGGAACCGGGCCACGTGCCCTGACGGGGGATCCACGGGGATTTTCCACGCGGTGCCGCGCGGTTCGGTCCCCTCCGTGGCGACCTGTCTTTTTTACTCTGTCCTCCTTTCTGGGATTTCCATATCGGGGGCACTGCAGTCCTCAAGGCCGTTTAAAATATATATCCCCTTATCAGCGAGGACGGCATCCCTGTGGCGGGTCCTCAGGGCATCGGGCGCTGCGTCTGCCTAGTGTTCCAGGTGCTCCCAGCCAACGCCTCGATCAGGCCCCGGGATCGATGCGCTGGGACTCACCTATTCGGAGCCTGCGGTCTCCTCCTTCCTCCTGCTCTGCGGGGCCCTGTGAACCAAGAGGCTCGAGGCTGGAGGCCCGGACGAGGCCCCTGGCCCTGCTTCCTGGGCTGTGGCCCCGCGCCTTGGCCTTGCTCTGCCTCTCAGTCTTGCGTTTCAACCCGTCAGTGACTGGGACTCCATCGGGGGCTGCAAACCGGGGCAGGTGGTGCTTGGCCCACGGGTGTTATTTTACTCAGCCTGCAAAGTGTTTTAGAAATGAGGGCTCTTCATTTTTTAAAAATCCAGAGTTCAGCCCGGCCGGCGTGGCTCAGTGGTTGAGTAATGACCTATGAACCAAGAGGTCACAGTTCGATTCCAGGTCAGGGCACATGCCCGGGTTGCAGGCTGGGGGGGGGGGGGGGGGGGTTGCAAGAGGCAGCCAATAGATGATTCTCTCTCATCATTGATGTTTCTATCTCTCTCTCCCTCTCCCTTCCTCTCTCTGAAATCAATCTATATATATATAAAAGGCTAATATGCAAAGTGTCCCCTCAGGAGTTCGACCAGGAGACCCCGAGTTTGATTGCTTGCTATGACATGTGCTGACCACCAGGGGGCAGCGCGGAACAAAGGAAGGCTCCAGCCAGCAGCCAGAAGTCCCTGATTGGCCCTGACTGTCAGTCAGGCCTAGGGACCCTGCCTGTGCATGAATTTTGTGCACCGGGCCTCTAGTAAAAATATAAAAACAGAATCCCGAGTTCAGAATTGTTTAATAAACAAACGATCGGGTACGAGTGGGCTAGACCTGCCCCGGGAGGTGGGGCCTGTGCGCCACCTGCTGCCTCGGCCCGGGCCTGGCCCTCTTCACCGACTCCGCTACCTGCTTGCCCCTGAAGACAGTTGAGTTTGTGGCCCCCGGACTGAGCAATAATCCTAACCACCTTACAAAGCACGAAGACAAGGTTAGCTCCTCTCTCTGAGCTGGGAAAGGAGGGGTTCTTACCCCATTTCACAGGTTGGGAGCCCCAGGATCTGAGACGCCCAGCCCCTGAGGGTGCCGACGCTGGGAAATCCTGTTCTATTACGCAAGGCGGCCACTTGGTTAAGGTGAAATGAGGCAGGACTGGAAGGCAAGCCCAGGTCATCTAGAGGTGGGAGGAAGTCAGGGAGCGGGAGAGAAGCAAGGGGCCTTGTTCTATGTGTGGTGACGACCTCGCTGTCTCATCCAGGCCTCACGTAAGCTCCTCGAGGTAACTGGCGCATCGGGGTGCGAGCGCTGTTCTCCCGGTGGCTCGGGGGCTGCCCCGGGAATGCCATTCCTACCCCTGGATCCAGCAGCTCCTGAGTCTCAGACTCCCAGTGGCTCCTACAGGTGTCTCCACTCCTTGCACTAGTTTTTTAAAAATATATTTTTATTGATTTCAGAGAGGAAGGGAGAGCGAGAGGGAGAGAGAAACATCCATGATGAGAGAGAATCATGGACCGATGCCTCCTGCACGCCCCCTAGTGGGGATGGAGCCCGCAACCCGGGCATGTGCCCCGACTGGGAATCAAACCACAACCTCCTGGTTTATAGGTCAATGCTGAACCACTGAGTCACGCCGGCCGGGCCTCACCCTCGTTTGAGTTGCGTTAGTTCTGATACGCAGATACTCACACGCCACTCAGCGCACGCACCCCCCGCGCAGACTTCCTCCTCACCCTCGCTGGCCTGCGGGCTCCTGACGGACAGCTGCCTCCCGTTCTCCTTCCCAGGTCGGCAGCCTCCACTCCCACGGCATCGACACACCCCAGCGCGAGGTGCGTGGTCCTGCGCTCCATCGGCCAGACCGGGGGAGTCAAGGTCAGACGGGGCTGTGGAGCAGCCGCCCGTGCAGGGCTGGTAGTTAATTAAAAGCTCTGACCACACCCTCACCGGTGTGGCTCAGTGGATAGAGTGTTGGCCTGCGGACGGAGGGGTCTCAGGTTCGATTCTGGTCAAGGTCACAGGCTCCTCCCAGCGCGGGCCCTGCTTGGGGCGCGTGCAGGAGGCAACCAATCGATGTGTTTCCCTCACATCGATGTTTCTCTCTGTCTTTCCCTCTCTCTAAAAATCAATGGGAAAGTCTCCTCGGGTGAGGATGAACAAAAAATCAAAATAAAGGCTCCCACACGCACGCGGTGACTCGTGCCAGCGCGGTGGCCCGGTGGCCGTGGGCACCAGGGCGGGGCTTCTGTGCTGGAAGTCGCTCAGCAGCTCCGAGGCCGCCCTCCCTCCCAGCAGCCGGCCAGCAGGCAGGAGGCCGGCACCCCCGCCCAGCGCCAGCGATTTGCAGGGCGCTCCCAGCTGCTGCCCGTCTGGAGCTCCAGGAGAAAGAGTGAGAGGGAAGCAGGTGGAGGTGAGGATGCGGACATCACGGCCCCAGGTGGGGCTGTAGGAACCGCCAGGCGGGAGGCCTGCTGGGACGTCGGCCATGGGGAGGGGGTCGCAGAGCCCTGGGGGGACACACCCTCTTCGTTCAGGGCAGCGTGGCATCGTGGACAGTGGCCGCCGTGAGCCCCGCCCTGCCACTCACTGCCCGTCAAGTAACCTGTCCGCCTGATTCCTCTCCTGGGTGGTGAACTGTCTGGGACTAATAACCACTCCCAGCCCGGCCGGCGGGGCTCAGTGGTTGAGCGTCCACCTAGGAACCAGGAGGTCACCGTTCGATTCCCAGTCAGGGCACAGGCCTGGGTTGTGGGCTTGATCCCCAGTAGGACGTGCAGGAGGCAGCCGGTCCATGATTCTCTCTCATCACTGATGTTTCTGTCTCCCTCTCCCTCTCCCTGCCTCTCTGACATCAACAAAAAGACAGATATCAGGAGAGAAGCAGGTCAGCTGTGGCCCTGATGTGGAGGAGCTCATAACCCTGTCCGAGGGAGGGCTTCGCTGCTTCCCCTCAGAGCAGCGGTTCTCAACCTGTGGGTCGCGACCCCTTTGGTGGTCGAACGACCCTTTCACGGGGGTCGCCTAAGACCATCCTGCATATCAGATATTTACATGACGATTCATCACAGTAGCAACATTACAGTGATGAAGTAGCAATGAAAATCATGTTATGGTTGGGTCACAACATGAGGAACTGTATTTAAAGGGCCAGAAGGTTGAGAACCACTGCCTCAGAGGCTGTCCACCTGGCCGGGGAGTGTGTGGGTGTGGGTGTGGGGGGGGGCAGTGCTGGCCGAGGAGGGGACCCCCCTGGCTTTGGAGGAAGTGGAGCCGCTGAGGCCTGGGTCTTGCCTGCTATCCTGAGACAGACCAGCAGATGGCGGCAGTGCTCCAGGAAAGTCAGGGAGGGTTGGGGAGGGAGGGAGGACGGAGGGAGGGACACAGCCAGAGCACATTCATCTGCAGGGGCTGCCATAGGAAAACCAGAGGCCAGGTGGCCAGGACGCCAGATGTGCTTCTCACAGTGCTGGAGGCTGGAGGTCAAGGTCAAGGTCAAGGTGTGAACAAGAAGGTTTCATTCTGAGGTCCCTTCTCTTGGCTTGTGGGCGACCAGCATCTCCCTGGGGCCCTGGGGGGGGGGGCGGGGGGGGAGGAGAGAACATCTTCCCTTCCCTAGTCCAGTGGGTCAGGGCCCAGCTTTGTGACCTCATTCAACCCTAATGACCCCCTAGAGACCTGGCTGCAAACACACTGGGGGTAGGATCTCAACACATGAGTTTTAGGGGGGGCACAATTCAATCCACTTTTTTATGGGGAGGGGGGAGGGAAGAGCCGGGGCACTGGGTGGGGCCCAGGACTCCCGGGGCTGAGCCAGCCTGGCCACTCGCTGGACTGAAACCCTGAGCAGGTCACTTGTCTCTTTGAGCAGCTGCATCCTCACCCCAAAGGGGGCAGTGCAGCCCCCACAGCCCGCACCCACAGAAGCAGGGACCGGAGCTCCCCGATTCCTCACTCAGCTGACACAGCAACCCTGTGGGACAGGCGTTCGCATCATGGCCGTCTCCCCAGGAGGGGACCAGGAGCCAGGGAGGTTAGGTCTTTCCAGAGCCTCCGGGAAACTCCAGAGAAAGGGCGAGTTTGGGGGAGGGGCCTTGTAGGAAACACGGGCCCGCGGACTAGTGGCCTGGCCCGGGGTCCGGGGGACCCGGGAAAACACTCCTGGACACAAGGCCCCCACATGAGGCGGCCCCGAC